TGGAATCTCAGCAAAATGTTTAATCCATATCAGAGCTACATTACGACTCCGTAGGGCCCCAGCAGGGGTAAAGATTGTCCCAGAAAATATATTTTCCACATACATGGAAATCTTGGTTTACCAACCTGCCCGTGATTCCAACAGAAACAAAGACTCATCCCAAAAAAACATCTGTACAGAGATAATTGATAAAGTGTTAATTCACAAAAAATTAGTTATGCTAAAATGACAGCAGCATTACTATTTGTAAGAAATGAAGATATGTTGAAAGAGATGTTTAACATTTTCAAAGAAAACGTGTCAGAAAAAGTGTTAATTTTGCCAAATCTTCAATCTAATGTGCCTCTGCTGTGGTATGACTTTATTTTTCCTGAACCCCCACACTACCAAGTTATTTTCATTTTAAAAAGCCTAACACTTATTTGAAACATGTGATGTATAACTAATACATAACTATAGCAAAGAATAACAATTTTATATACAGATGTCTGTTCAGATATATAATATATATATATTAAATGTATTAAATTTTAATTTTTAATTTATTTGATCATCCTTTATAGATTTGGACAAAGGCAAAGGAAAGTGTTTTCACAGTAAGAACAATAAGGATGTGGAATTCTCTGCATGAAGATGTAGTTTCATCAGAGTCTGTACACATGTTTAAACAGCAACTGCATGAATACTGGCAAAAACATGATATTCAAGCTTTTTCAATATGTGGGCTCACAGCTTCTTGATCCAAGTAGATATCTGACTGTCATTCTGGGGTCAAGAAGGAAATGTTTTCCTACCGGTAGTTTGTTGCAAAATTGGAAGCGCTTCAAATGAACAGCAAAAATAGATGTGAGAGACTGAACTTGATGGACACATGTCTCTTTTCAGCCTAAATAACTACGTAAGACAGAAATATACAGGGTATAGCACATATTTCATAATTTCCATTATCGTGCAACATTTTAGAAACCCTGTGCACGAAGGATGTAACGCAAAAATAAAAGGTGACCTTTACTTGCAATAAAAAAACATTGAGCAATATTGCTTGTGCAGTATATATACAATATAACTGTTGCTCTAATTTCCCTGTACTCACATTTGCAGACTTCTAAATGAACCCAAAGCCTTGATATAAATTCAATAAACCAATGGTAAACAGGATATCTATTATCCACAGTCCAGCATTCATTCTCCACTGCTCACACCTCCATCCCCTCGCTTCGGCTAGACAGTCTGGGTCGGCAACTTTTCCTCCACACTCTACTCAGGTTTTTTTCAGGTTTGCTGAACTGCCATCTATGCGTTTCATCAGAATATCATAATTTATCAGGGCAAGACGAACCCACACATACTGACATTTAAACCACAACCTACCATCAATTAAATCAGAGCACAGATTAAACAAGTTACCTGAAAACTATGTAAGTACAAAGAACTTTACATAGGGTCTGAAATATTCTCTTACAATGAGAAAAACAGTTTTCTCACCTACAGTACATTTAAAAAAAAGATACTCAACATAATTGAATGCCCTGGATATTGATATTTGTAATTCATATAGTGGCATTTCTGGAAGTGTAGTTAACGGAAATGTCCCCAGAATCCAAAAAGAATACCTGTATCTGTACATAGTGAGCACATAAAATAAGTACACAGTAACAACAAATATCTGTGCTACATGGCGTATCACAAGCTGTTTATTGGTGCCATTGTTCCTGTTAAATACCATTTGGGATTGAGATTATGTAAATAATTATTTATGGTTTAGACAGAAATCTTATCCCGATTGTTTTATGAAATTAAGTTTACAAAAGTCGTAGGTGGTTTTACCAATAGAAGAATTTTTCATTTGACATGCAAACAACACAAAAAGAATAGAGAACCTAAATCCAACTTCTACAGCAACTCCAGCAAACTACGACAGAAGACGGCCCGTGAATATACATAAACTAGTTAGTTACTACTATTACAGATACAATTGAACCTCTTTCCCCTGAACTGTGTGTGTTTAAAAAAATTCCCGGTGATATTTTCAATTGTAAAAAAATGATGCTTGGTCACCTGTTAATTGCATCCACATCTATCATGCCACGATATTGGAAAACTGATAATATACCAAATATAAAAGAAGTCTTAAATGATGTATTGGAGAATAAAAGGTACGAACTGACATTTCATAATCTATCTAAAAAACGTAGTTTATTAAAACACGAATGAGAAGACTAAGTCAGACATAAATATCATTTATAATTCAATTCTATACCTGACCAAAAATGCTTTTTCTTTTTTTCATTCCTCTTTACTTTTTTTTTTTGTATCGGTAGTTTAAATAACTATAGCAAATAATACCTTTGTTTACATTTGTTGTTTTATATTACTCACAAATTTAATTTGTTTTATTGTAACATACTGTGCATTTTAGGATGACAAATATTATTTTATCACCCCCTGTTATTATTATCTTTCTTCACTGTTATTTTTATTATTATCATTATGTAACGTCAAAAACTTTAATACAAATATTTGACAAGAAGACGGCCGTGAGCTTACAATCTAAACATTGCTTCTTACAGCACCCAGCATAATTCTCACTAAGGCTGTCCACTTCCAGTAGATTGTCTCACTCTGATGATCTTCCACATGGGTGGGCATATGATCTTCCACATTGATTAGAGAAAAAGGGACATGTTAAGGCCCTATAGGCATGCTTTTCATTAAGTGTTCCCTACGATAAAATCTAACCTCCGCCACCAGTATGACGTTGTAGAAACAACTAAAGTCAAAACATATTGCATAAAAAAAGACTAGTTTGTTTAGTAAGATGGCAGTAAAATATGTAAATGGTTTACTACTCTAATAATCTCGCCATCCACTTTGAAAAATTCTACAGTAGCTTTTCCCAATAGCACCATCCATCAACAAGTACTACATTATCCTTTGACCACATTGCTACATAGTTCTGCTAACCCTCAGATGATATTATCTGGTTTTCTGGCTCTCAACATCATTTCAAAGGCAGGAAGAAAAATCTGGATACCTGAAGCTCTGTAATTATAGAAGCTAAGATAACAAATACACAGCGTTAAAAAAATAGATAGATAAATTATCAGAGTTAAGCAGATAAACCATATTTAGTACACTAATCTCAAGCGTTTGTTTTGCATTCTTTTGCCTTTTAAGATGACAGGATGTGATCAATTGCTTCCTTAAAGGTTGGCAGCTGTCCTGCACTAGCATTTAAATTCTTTTTGATGTCCTGTACTTTGTGCGAACGCTTGTGAACTACTGTTCAGATATAGAACCATGATTAAAATAATTTGTGCATCTGGTTATAATTAAAGACCTAGTTGAATGTAATGACAACTTTATCCAAACTCTGGCACAGCTAGCCTCTCCTTGAAAATCAATGTTATATTGTATCAACTGTCTTTTTGATCTGCACTTTTCATAAACACTGGACCATTGTAGTTATTGACACGGTACCTGTTGAGATACAAAGAGCAAATTGTATTTCAAGCGATTCATATTGCAATATTGATTTATGCTATGGATAATATAATAATGCTGCCTTGGATGTGTACGGTTCTGTGAGATCATTATAAAATGTAAATCCCCAGCATTGGTTATAGATAGATAGATAGATAGATAGATAGATCTGACCATTGCTATTCTAGTGGTCAGATAACATATTCTAACCTTTTCTTACACAGTGTGATGTGAACCTGGTAGTACCTGAAACTGAATCAATTAATAAAAACAAAAGTACAGTTAAGAAAAACATATCAGGACACTCTAAAGACTTCAGGTGTCCTCCATAAAGCAAAGGGGCAGAGTACTACTACATGCAAACAGTCCCCTCAGCCCTTTACCAAATGTCAACTGGTATGTTGACATCAGAAACCCTCTGGCATTTTTCAACTTTGTCCCGTCACACTCCTATCGCTACTCCTTCAGGTCTCCTTGCTGCTACCCAGTGTAGGGGTCCGCTTGGGTGCCACCATGGCAAGATGCGGTGGCCATGTGGATGCCAGAAAAGGGTCGATGGGAATGGGGCCTGGACAGACATAGGGAAGGGATTGTGGAATAGCCAAGATTTTACCAAATCTCCTCCCCACTGCAGGGTAGTGGGAACCAGTCATGTTATTGGCTGTTCCTATATGTAGCCAAGCACTGCACTTGGTCAGTGCTTGGTTGCTCTGGTGCATGTTCCAGCCTCCTAGTATTCTGGGTCTTGTTCCTGGTTCCTGATCCTAAATTCTGTTTCTGATTCTTGCTCCTGGTTCCTGGTTCCTGGTCCCTGATTTGCAGTTACTGGTTCTTGATTCCCGATAATACTTCTCAGCTTCTGATCATTGGCTCTAACCCTGACCACACTTCTTACCCCTGACCTTTTGCTTCTGGCATCCTGCTCTTTATTCGTGGATTTCCTTGCTTGTGACCCTCGGCTTGACTCTTGACCTCACTCCTTTGCGACCATTGGCCCGCCTGCCCTCTCCTTTAATGTCCTCATAGATCTCCCAGGTTTCCATATCACTATCAGGCACCTAGGAAGGTCATGTTTGCAAGGGGTTGCTGTTTCACTGCAACTGAGTTCCTCACATAGTTAAATCACATATTTGCAAAATAGATGGGCTTGAAAAGTCTGATAGCAGTCTGCACTGGTCTCATTTTGCCCTGAGTGTCATCAGAGCACACTCTATACCCCTCAGCTTGACAATAAAGTTCTTTGAAGTCTCCTTTACCATGTGGAAGGGTGGTGATTTTTACCTCACTTAGATTGGAACCCTGTCAAATCTAAAAGGCCCATTTATTAGGTACTGTGCATAAATTGCCACGACTATATTTTCAATGTAAAATATAGGTATTTGAATATGGTATGTAAGCCGATAGTTTTTGCTCCCGATAAGCATTTAACTGCTGAAATTAAAGCAATCCAAACCATATCATTGCTTATCGGAAGCAGAAAAATTGCTAATACGCGTTTGTCTGATATGTATCAAGGTCTTTGTCTATGAGCAAGTGCGCACTGGCATAAAATGCACTAGGTGGCTTTTTGGATCTTCTCTCCCCCCGTATTGTCCGCCTCAACCTGTATTGTCCGTGGTAATAAAGCGTTCATGCTGGTATCCCGTAATACTCCAATAGCTGTTTCTTTTTATGGAAATCCCTAATAGGACCCAAGTTTTCAGTTAATAATTACAAGCTGCAGGAAGAGAACCTACACCTGTCCCCAAACCGGATTCCCAGCCACTACCCATTGATGATACGCTACATAACGTCTACATTTAAGATGGTTAACGGTGGGTACCGGAGGAGCATTCAAATCCCTGCACACATACATTGACAGTTTACATTAATCTAGTTTGCACTGGTGTGAAATTGGATCTGTTACCTTTAAAAATGCTTAGCTCACTCACGACCTGGTCTGTTCCTCCCCATTCAATCATTTCACTTGGATGAAATGTTATATGTCCTGGCTGCTTCTGAACAAGGGATGGGAGGAAGAGGTATGCAGAGGACGAGTGTTAAATAACTTGTAACAATAGAGTAGAAAAAATATAATACAGAGGTCGAAATGTATGAAATTTTACAAAAGGTAAAAAATAGTCTATAGCTTACAATGCAAACAACTCCAAAACTACTGGACAATTTAAGTGTCTTAAACCACCAAATAGCAGTAAGATGCTACAGTAGGTACATGTAATCTGTACCTACTAATTGTTCATAGTCATTCTTTTAAAATGCTTTTGTACCCCGTGTGATGGGACCAAGGTATACATCATGACTGGTTCTTGACTTTTGACTCACCCTATAGAATAGAAAAAAAATGGTGTCAGATACACTTTAACCAATGTAGGTAACTAAAACATTTTTGAATTTCATGATACAGAGTATCTACAACATTCTGACATTTCTTATTCTCCCAAGTATTTGGCAAAGGACTTGATAGATTGACTAATTTTATAACCAATTGCCTTCAATATTTGATGCTGGAATTTTTTTTTCTATGAAATATACCCTGTCAAAAAACTACATTTACTAAATACTACAAATATTAATATTAGTATTCTTTAATATATATATATATATATAAATATATATATAATTTTTAAGTCTGGTTGACAAATATTATACAATCACCTATTCTACAGATTTTCATAACACGGTAAAAAAAAAACGAATTTGTCCTATACATGGTCCTATACATTTTCATTCTGCCAAACTACCGTTTCTTCTTCCACGGTTTGTCAAGTAAATAAATAAACACCTTGTTTACCTTGTCACCACCAGAAACAGCTCACACCACTGGCGATTTCAGCCAATTCGAGGTATAAAATAATGATTGACAAGAATACTTAGCTCATATTATTCTGGATCGCATTGTGGCCAATAATACTCGTCAAATGAAATGGCCCGTGTTCTAACCTATTCTTTGTTGCTAATATAAAACTAAGGAAAACATCATTTTTTGGCAAGAAAGTAGCCAGAAAAAATATGGAAAAAGTCAACACCTTTTCTGTAAAATAAAAATAAAAAATACATCAAAGGCAGCCAGTAGTTTATATAATTAGGGAAGTACGCACCTAATGATTCATCATTATGGAAAATTTGTAAATAGGAATTCTTAACGAATGGATGATTTCATAATGAATACATAGGTATGTGTGTGACATTTCGAGCCGCTCCAGTAAATCAGTGCAAGGTAACAAATATGGATGTACATCTATATGGTAACACATATGTCAGAGAGCATGTGATGACACATCTGTAGTTCACCAATTAATTTCAGGCTAAATCATACATCATTTTACTTTGAACTGAATCAAGGAAAATACATTCTGAATTTAATTTGGCAGGACTGCACTCATTACAAATACGCACGTTGCCAACATTTAAGCATAACACATGCTAACATGCAGAATTGCAATTGCAAAACGATATTATTTTTATATCCCAATCATAATGTAATTAAACCATTATAAATCTGAATGATAAAATACATAAAGGCTAAGGTTTTAATACTCTGGAGTATTAAATCCGTATTCAGATCCAATACGCAATGAAGTAAGCCATAAAAATTAAAATTATACATGAAACAGAAGTCAAAACCGCTGACTATGGCCAATATTTTTTATACATTCTTTTTCTTTGTGCCCAGAACTCTACTAAATTAATGCAAAGTGTAACAGAATTTAGTAGAAGATAAAATCATTTTGGCCATCCAATCTTCCCAATGACTATTTAACTATTTTTATTCTTTATCATGCGACCTTTCTTAAGCCTTCTTAAATGAATACTTTATTGCTGTTTATTATTGAAAATAAACAATTACACGTAGTATAGTCTGTGTATAAATTATTGAATTGGAAACGTATAAGTAAATAACTATTTTTCATGTATCTCTGTTACTTATATTTATATTCTCTTTGGTAGGAAGCATCCTGTAGCTGAGAAGACCATGCACAATTTGAGTGGCTTAACTAAACACAGTGATCCCTAGGACTTGCACATAGCATCATAGCATCTATCCTCCCTTATACACAAGTATGTCCCGTCTAGGTCCTTACGATCTGCTGAAGCCTTACGTCTATCTTCTATCCGTACTCCCACCTCTGATGCTTGCCTTCAAGATTTCTCGAGGGCTGCACCGTTCCTGTGGAACTCGCTTCCCTCCTCCATCAGATGCTCACCCAGTCTCCACTCCTTTAAAAAATCGTTAAAAACCCACTTCTTCATAAAAGCGTATCAATTAAACTGTTAATAGCTCCTGACTGATTCCTCTTCTGCAACTGTCACTAGTCTAATACTATCCTTACCTTTTTGTGTCATTTTACCCCACTCCCTCTAGCATGTAAGTTTATTGAGCAGGGCCCTCAACCCCTCTGTTCCTGTGTGTCCAACTTGTCTGGTTACAACTACATGTCTGTTCGTCCACCCATTGTAAAGCGCTGCGGAATTTGATGGCGCTCTATAAATATCATAATAATAATAATAATCATCATGTGTTAACCTATACTAGCTCTCAGTTGCCTGCATGGTCTTTGATTGGGTAAGTGTTGCTTCTAAACTAAATAGGGTTAAAAGATGGCTGGGAATCCAAGAGATGCATTGAAATATGTATGTAGACTTACAAAACAAGGCTTAAATTTTACATATAATATTTTATTTAAAAAAAATAAAAAATGATTTAAACTACTTTAATCCATTAATCTGTAAGATATTGCAATCATCTGCAATTCGTTATTTAAAAAAGATAAAAAATGTAATATATTAAAAGGACCACTATAGTCACCCAGACCACTCAATCTCAATGAAGTGGTTTGGGTGCAGTGCAAAACATTGCATTATTATCGATATGGCAATGTTTCCATTACAGCGTTAAGACACCTCTTGTGGCTATCTTCCTGACAGCCACTAGAGGCGCTTTCCCTGTGAGAACATAATTCTCAATTATGCTACACCTAGATATGTCTATGGGTACTTATCCCTGAAGGTAGTAACTGAACTGGGAAATTTCTGAAAGATTTTAACAAGCTAAACAATGTTGTTGGCAGCCGGGTGCTCTTCTTTAACCCCTTAAGAACCAAACTTCTGGTATAAAAGGGAATCATGACATGTCACACATGTCATGTGTCCTTAAGGGGTTAAATGCACCAGCTACCTGTAGGAGCCCATAGAAAGGAGAGGTGACTGATATGAGATTTAAGAGGTTGGAATCTGGCCACATCAATTTTAAGGCATCACTCACTGTGGCATCCACTGTGAAGCAGTTTCAATTTAAATGTTCCATACGCAGGATGATGAAAGGTATACTCACATTCATGCATGCGCACAACCACTGTGTCAATGTACCTGCCTTCAGGACTGGATGTGGAGGGCTATAACTGGTATATTGGCAGCAGCCAGAGGGGCAGTATCAAGCGACCTCTGAGATACATATCAAACTTAAAATTTAGGAAGCTCTGCCTCTTTTTCTGATGCCTTTCTATCAGCTGCGAGAAGAAAAATGACTTTCACTGTAACATGTACCTGCATGATCTTCCCCTACACGAACCCCCTAAAATCAGCATGCCGTGAAGCGGGACACCAGTGGGCATGGTAAAAGGGGGCCTGTCTGAACAATGGGCATGTTAGCCTGGTGTGAATGCAAGCCAGGAAGCCAGGTCAATCAAGCAGGCCAGTCCACTAAGGGCAGACCATGCAGGGCGCAGTCTCTGCAGGGTCCTAGTGCCCTGAGCATAGCACAAGCAAGTCTAATGATGCACTCACATTACACTTTCTATATACATTAAATATATAAGAGATAAATATATTTAAATATATAATTTGTTTACTGCTCCTCCTTTTTTCCTTTGATTGGTTACTTCTCTTTTGATCTGTGCATAAAATCAACGTTTAGTGATTGATCTATAACCATCAATCATCTCTTTTCCCATCAGTTGTCTCTTTTTTGGAACCAAAGACGGAACTCTGAATTATGAATCAAAACAAACACGCTCGTCCATTGAACAATTTACTTGATTCGCGGTTTGGCTACATTACAGATTGGAATTCGGAACTTCGAGCGATCACCTCATCAGCCTAAATTCAGACAAACTGCAGTTTGGAATGAAACAAATCTCCAAGACTAATCAACGCTCTGTACATATTTTCTTCCAAAAACTAGTACATTTGAAACATAATTCAGCATTGAATGGAAATCAGTATCACATAAAATGCTGTATGTATAAAACCATTTGGTGGATGACTTAATTTGCCTCTGTTATACCTAAATTACATATTTCATCTAATACAAAAAAATACTTTCAATACTCCATATAAACATATTTAAATCCTCAAGACAGAACATGGTACATGACACAATTACTGAACATAAGTCATGTTTGGTAGAGTCAGGAGATATCACATCTTCCATTAGTTCATCCCCATTGTCTTTTATACGAGAAATACATCTTAAAGAAAGAAAGATTAGCTGTAACAGGATTTGGTACGCCAATGGAACAATCAAAAGTTTCAATGGAATATTCTTTTAGTCTTTCACAAAGTAAACCCCTAAGCAATTAGTGTAGAATGAAAGAAAGAAGAAAAAAAAATCTTTCTTAGCATGTCCTTAATAACGTTAATCTTTTGACTGCAAATTAGCTGGGTTACATTTCAAAGTCCTGGAATTGTAGGGTCAGTGAAGTGAAAGTGAGAAACGTTCAGTGGCCTTATGTGCATTATTTGTGCTTATTCTGCAGTAGTT